GATGCGAAATTTAGATAAATGAACTGAAACGATGAGTGGCATTAATCATGCGATATCACAATGCTTGCAAGTGGAACATATTGGTAATGTCCATGAAATTGTGATATATAAGACAACAAAATAATGCGCCAACGGATATCAGTGCATCAAAGTGCAGTGCCAGTCATCCCTCGTTTTCTCGACAGTTCCGTTCATAACAGAAAAGAGCTTTTTTCGCAGTGATCAGAGTGACACGTCTTTTTCACCCAATGATACTGATAGTTATACAGCCAGCCAAACATAATTTCTGTGCAGTTTGCAAGAACAGCACGTGTCCTGCATTACAGCTTTGTGAAGAGAAAATTTAAAATAGGTCTGAATTTCGCAGTTTACAAATACAAATTTAAAGTTTTTTTAAAAAGTAATAATTTTATCTACAATACAGATAAAGCGAAGGCATAAGAATATCATAGAAATTACGTATGGTGAGTTAATGAATGAGATACCTACGTCATGTAACTTTACCAAACATCAGGCTATTGACTTTAGCACTTGCAGATGCTCAGGTATTCATCAAATTATTATTCATATTATGAAGTGATTGAATATTTGATATCAAGAGATTTTGCTGTATCAGATATGAGTATATATATGTATGCCAAAACCAGGATAGCTGGCCGAATAGTGCTCTATTATTCGATTATATTGATTAAAATGGAAGATTTGTTATTCTTTGAAACTTTACTAATAATTACACATATTTCAGGTGATTCACTGCCCATTCAGTCGTCGGCATTTCATCAAATCATGTACGAATTCCGTTGCACAGTTTGGTTGCACTTATGATTACGAGTTAATTATGCATTTCAACTGCAGCAATACATCGTCTGGTATAGCTTCATGGTCTTTTAAATCATTTGAACACAAACTGGTATGAATCATCCCTTTTTTCTCTCACTTCCTTTCTCCTTCTTTCTCCTTCTAAAATTTCTAACAAGAAAAAAGAAACTATTGAATTTTGTTTTTGTTGTCGTAATGCAGTATTCATATTTTTTGTAGACTTCACTTAATAAGTATTTCAATTTTGTCCATGCGATAATTTAAGAAACCTAGCTGCTTCGGATTCAAAAAATATATCAGTTGTTTAGAGAACTTTAGTTCTTTAAGCAATTGAAATGTAATAGATGTAGAAAATGCAACAGTGTATAAGGAACCATTGTAAAATGTTCGCTGCAGAGAAATTCTGCTGCATTGGTTATTGGCGTGAAAACGAGATGCAATACATTGTAAGTAGAAAAACGACTTCCTTGGAGTTTCTATGCCATGTAAGAATCGCATTTAAGTTTCACAACTGGCACTTCTTTTCATATCCATTAAAGTCCTTTGTCCTGAATTTATGCAGTCTTCATCCGTATTATTGGATAATGACGTCATAAAAGTTTTGAAAAGTAGGTAGTAGTGTTCTGACACGTTTCTACGAAGTGTTATCCTAATTTGTCGTTTCTTGTCTGCTATTTTTACGCTAGTTTGCTGTTGAATTCAGAGCCATATGGTCTCACTCCTGGCACAGTAAATAATTTCTAACATGCAATTGTATTTTCATAATTTTAAACTTCATTTATTTATACATTATTGTTTAGATCTACTCATCTCATTCAAATGGTATAACATATATTCACTCTTATCGTCGCTCATTCTGTCATTCAAATTCTTCAAAACAATCACAACCCTATCATAACTTTACATTTGCAAAATATGGTGCGAAATTCACGTTTTTTATGGAATATCTGTTCCATTTAGATGAACCCAAAACATTGATTTGTTAACTTTAATTGAGGATATTTGCAATGCACATTTTTTAATAAAATCGAATTTGGACATAGCTTGTAATATGAATAAATAGCAAATTTGGATCATTTGAATCAATTTGAACGAAGAGATGAAAAACTTCACTTTAATCGTGTGCATATCTGCATATCGAAACATTCCTAGAAACGTATTTCAAAGTTTGTGCATCTACATGAAGAATTTTTAATTTCAGATGGTTGTTTTCCTCTAAACGGAGTTAGCAGGAAGACTGAAATTAATTCATTGTTGGCGACTATATTTATTCGATTGTCATTTGCAGTAATTTCATATTCTGGTTGCATCGGGTAGTTTTTTTTTTTGTTTTGACTATTTGCTCATTGCTTGTTGCAGTGAAATGTAGTTTTTAAAGATCATAGAATGGACATTTTTGTAAAAACTGAAATTTTCTGTTTCGCCTTATGGAATACTGTTTTTGAGAATATTTTATATTGATCGGTATGAACAAACATTATCGAAATATATAATTAATTGCGACAAAAAGTTGTGGCTTCTTTTCCACTGTAAACAAACAAAAGTTTCTTCAGTTAAAATGATGATTCTCATCGACTTTTAATAATGGTGAATAAGCAAACAAGCCGATGTTCAGTTTCCCTTTCTGTCAGTAAAGGAATTGAATAACTGCGATAGAAATTGGAGATACTCATATTATGTTATCTTCCACCATTCGTGATTCTTTTCTGTAAATCACACGTTTGGTTCAGTAATTTTACTATTGTTAAAGATTTGGGGTGAATGTAAGTTAATAAATTTTGTAGTAATTTTGTAGTTTGCAGTGATAAATTTTGTATTGTTATGCGCTGGACAAAGATTTTTGTTTGGAAAAGTAAAACGAAAGTTAGATTTTTTGTGGCACGAAAGAAAAGATGGGTGAATAAATGTTATTACGGTAAAGGGATTGACAGGCAGAGAATCGGTTGTTGTTTGCTCAAAAATTTTTCCTAAAAAAGACGAAAATTTGTTTCTTTTTTGGACGAAAAATATTTTTTAATTAACGAGTTTTCGCGAAATAATTGAATTGGCATTCGGTTACGGACAGTTTAGTGATGACATTTCAATCGATACATAGTAGAAGAGGGGGGGAGGGCTGAAAGTTTGTACACTTTCCTATCTGTTTCTTTTCAGCCAACATATCTGTTTCTTTTTTATGTTCAATATCATAAACATTTATCGGTATGAAAGAATACTGTATACTTACTCACAGGTGCTAATTTTATTTTTAGCAAATTTAGTTAATTGAGAGGAAGAAAAACAGGAGGGAATGAGATGCATTCCAAGGATTCCGCAGAGAAGAATGGCAGTTCTTTAGCGACGGTATCGACCTTTTTTCACGCGCAGATTTCGGTTGTATAAAAAGAACGAAGACAACGAGGTGGGGCCCCGTTGTATCGCATTCGATCGTCATTCCTTTTCACACTTCTTTGATCGAAGTTAACTTCTATCGAAATAAATTCATGATAGAAATGTTTATATAATCAAAGTGTCTTTGTATTTGAAATTTGTCAAAGGTTTTCCTTTTGTCAATTATTCTGTCAAATGATAAAATATGTTTGTTCACCGTTCCAAAAATATCGTCAAAAATTATTGCCGCTTGTCACAAGTTCTTAATGATGAGGTATGCTCCCTGTACTGTTCTAAAGAATAGCGCTGATGATTTATCTCATGTTTATTACTAGCTTCCTTTTAAAATGACTAGGCGAATCATGTTTACGTCAGTTTCTTGTATCAAATGATCTTATGACTTTCTTTGCGGTTAGTTTCTCCTACAAATGACCAAAAATTGACTATTACTATAAAAGTGCTCATCGAGCAACATCCAACTCGAAAGGAGCTTATTTTAATGTAATTTACTGCATTGAACCAAATCAGTCTTATCAACTCTGTTCTCCTGAACTGCGACCCAGCCATCAGTTCCTTATTCAAATTTCCAAAGATTACTTCAATCAGTAACGTCGAAAAGAAATCTTCCTCTTTAACTACAATTGATATTGTCACATGATATTACCGCCAATCTTCCACGAAGAATAAGCTTTATATGCTTGCTTCATCTTGAGATTCTGCACTCTTTCAAAGCAAACATTTTAGAAAGTGATTATATTTTCACCAAACATCATAAACGATTACGGAAATGTTAGGTTTGGTGAATTTACCCAGTGAATCCGTTGATTTCTATGCGCAACCGAAGAGTAATCATAGCAATTTTGCATTTCTCGGGCAGGGCAGGAACAAATCGACGGTTTCTTATACCGATGGTTAATTTTTTTAATCTAAAGTTGTTTATTTGGTTAGAAAGAAATCAGAATTTTCTATTTTTGCATACTGTTTTGTCTAGAAAATAAAAAAATAAAATACCTTCAATGTTACTTTAGATGTGGGAAAGTAAATCAGTGAGAAAGGAGTAGATATAGCTGAATTGTCGAAAAAAAATGAATGATTTCTCGTCAGATTATTGACGGATTGCGATCTTCGTGTAGAGCACAGCACATTATGCAGAGCACATTAAGCCTAATTGACTCATTAACGAATGTATTGGTTGTCAGTTATCAGTATGTGGAGTGAGAGTGAGGATAGACAGCATATCAGACCTGACAAATAACTCCCAAACTGAAAGATTTTCACCGGATATTGCATAAATGAGAATCTTTTGCAGATGGGCGTCGAATCATTAATGGAAAAGTAGTGGATGGAAAAGAACCGCACGAGATGTGGTGTAATTTGCTAATTAATTTATTCATAAAAAGTATTGCGAGACGTTCTGATGAAAGCATCGGAATAATGTACGAACGACGTGTAAATGGTTTGTTTCTGTAATTACCTAGGAACGATTGCACACCTTTTCGTTTTTTTGAGAGAAGGAAGGATTACCTTAGCGATAAGATAGGAGAACATCAATTCTGACCTTTGAAGCTGACAAAACATCCTTAGTTTATTGCAAGTGCTCTTGGTTGGAGTGTCAGTAATCAAAAGTTGAACTCAATGATTGCTTCGATCTTTTTGTGATGTACGAAGATAAGTTTAAATTTGTTCGTTCTAATGATCATAGCTCTTCACTGACAATGCTGACCGATCCCAGCTATATGTGCATGTTTTGCAGATTCACCAGAGACTGTATCTGTAAATGATACTGTGATGAAACCGATTCTTCCAGAGGATATGCTGAATCCGAAATCGACAATGTTAACAGCAATGTGTAATCCTAATTCAAAGAATGGCATGCTTGTTAACAGAATGATCAGATGCAATGCAAATAATGAAGACGACTGATTGAAAAGACAACTGCAGGAAGAGTAGTGGATTGTAATGTGTTTTTCAAAGTTCGTTCTGCTCAGTTCCTCAATGGATGGATCTCAACAGATGTTAACTGACAATACGTTTCTTATCGTTGCAATCGTTGTTGATATTACAGTGATTTTTTTCTTTTTTGCATTCAGAGAATATTTGACAAAGTAATAAGAGCAGAAATAGAATTTAGTAAACCATTGACTCGATGAAAGAAGCTGTCCTTATCTTTTTCGTCAAATAATTCAAAATGGTTAGGTTTAACAGTAAAAGAAAAAGAAACGATTAAAAATTGTTTCTAATCTAAAAAACCCTTTAAATTATCCAAAATTTAATGTAATTAGATAAGAACCGAATTCGAACAAACTATATCAAGGAACTGTTAGCTAACTTTCCTGAATTTATGGTAGAAAAGAAATGGAACTTTAACTTTGCTAAAATGACATAATATTTCTCTGATTTTTTCATATATTAGAGATTTACAACAGGCGGTAAAGCGCAATGAGTATGAGCATTAAATTAGTATTCCGTCCGGTTCATACCAGCAATTTTGCTGAAAATAACCGTCTTTCTTTTTTCATTTTGTATCTGATTTATTACACGATTATGAGAAGTCTTGAAGAAACTTCCGGAAATCGGAAAACAGTTGTGAGCAAACACTACTCTCTCCGTTTTCATGTTTACTTTTTACTTTTTTTTTTCATTCCACTCTTCATTACTTCTTTTTGGTCGTGCAGTTATTAATGCAGTGAACGATCGGTGGCTTACCTCATCACCGTAATTTTACGTTTTTAACTCAAATTTTTTTATATTATTGACAAGCAACATTTAAAGTGATGAAATTCATAATGCATTTAACTTTTACTTTCACTTTTTCTTCAAAATTGTTATGTTTAAAAGTCTTTATTAAAAAATTATTTTAACGAGAAGTGGGCACAAAAAAGAGAATTGTTGAAAGACTTAATTTTATAGCTGGTTGGATGCTGGTTCAAATTCCGTTATAATTCAATTACGATTAACTAAATGATTTGTATTCACTCTGAATGACATAATAATAAGTCGTAAGTATTTCTAGATAGTAATAATTTCTGCAATACTACTTACAAACACACTTTGCATTTAGAAATATATTTAAATAGTTTTATCTTTGAAACCATGTTATTTTTCTTAATTAAAAGATGAAATCAATTTCTGGTCTGATATTCCAATCTTTCGAACTATTCGCCTGCTTTATGTATCATTCTATTATAGGATAATTCTTGAACACCATTGTCAGTGAATGTTTCATCTGCCACAGTTTGTTATTGGCTTTTGATCAAACTTTGCCAAACTGTTAGAAATTCTGTGCTTCGTCCTTCAGAATTAACAACGATGCCACTTCAATTTTAGTATTTATTACAGAAATTGATTTCATTTGTAAAAATTTAAAAACGATCTAAAATATGCGATCGTCTTTGTGCATGGATTTTTTGTTGCTGTCGTTGATATGGTTGATATTTATCAGAAAAGTATCCGCCTTGCTGATAACGAAAGATATTATCCAAAGGGTGGCGTGAAGAGGAAGAGGATATCAGCCTATTTCTCAGTTAAAACAATTACATCTAAATGTGGAAGAAGATGGACAAACAATGACTTGTTCTTTCTTCTAATGTACTTCTCATAACAGGTCGCCTTATTGTTGCTGTTGCGGTCGAATCGCCAAAAATTATACTTCTTCAGTCAATTCCAATAATTCCAATAACGAATTTTCTACGGAGATTCGGTTTTTTTTTCAGTACTTCGATTTAATTTTGTTTTCTGATTAGTCCAATTTTCATCCGTTAAAAATTGAAATTTTTGTCAGTGAAGTGTTCTATAAATAGAAAACAATTGTATTTCTTTTTTCCTTCCTTACCAGTTTTTTTCAAACAGCTTCTGCACATCCATCAACAGTTATTGTTGCAACTAAGGAAGAATCGCTTAGAAAGATAGTCAAGATTCATTAAAGTCTTCCTTTTAAATTTGTTCTTTTTCATTAAGTTCTTCCTTTTAAATTTGTGCTTTTTCAAAAGATGTAAATAACTGTTCAGAAGGAAACAATTTGCAACAATTTCATATTATCATTATAAGAAACGCTATAAAAGAAGATTTTTGTTCGAAGTCAATTGAAAAGTTATTTGAGCGGAAAATCTTCAAAAAAAGAGGGCATTGGACATCATTATTTCTGTTGCTATTGCTTCCCACTATTATTGCATTTCGGTTTCTGAAAATCAGACAAAAGCAAATCACTGCGTTAACGTTAAAATGAAACTTCATAACCATGATTAAGTTCAGAGGTGATAGGAAGATTATTCTGCTAGGATTTTGCTTCTAGATCATATTTGTGAACATGTATTTGTATCTTTGCCTACTTTTGCACTAAATTCTGTATTGGAATTGTGTAAATTATGAAATCGAAACTTTGATAAATCTTTAATCCTCGCTTTGTATGACCTTAAGAAATGTAAACTCACCTTTTTTCCTCTTCCTTTAATGATCTTTAAATGACTCCCGCTTCAGAGAGGAAAAAACCTATAGTTCTCTAAGAATCAAATAGTAATTACCTGAACTTTTATGCTCTAATTCTCGACCAAACATATATAGAACAAGTTGCTACTTTATCTTAATATGTCCGAATTCTTTATTATGGGAGGGATTCAAAGGCATAATTTTGCAACAGAAAGGTCAGCTTCTTTATTCTCAAAAAAAGTTTGTGGATTTCGATACAGGTCGATACATGAAAGATTTTCTGGACAAGAGGATAGTGAAGATCATTTCTTACTCAGAGGTCATGACATATCGATTCTAGACATCTGGCCGATGTTGGAGTTATATCATGATTGTGATTATGAAAATGCTGTGAGTGGATTAGTTTTTTTAGTTGATTAGAGGATTATGCAAACGTACTGCTTTTCATGATTCTCATGATATCTTTAATATTGCTAGACAGATGATAAGCACAGTTCTGAAATCATTTGTTTTTTATTAAAATTATTACTAATTTTGAAAATTTTCATTCCCTTAAACGCTTATCTGTTGTATCCAGCACGAATCATAATTTTTGAAATTTTTTTAAACAAGTTTTGCTTGTTTTGCAGCGGTGTTTGAAGAAATTCTCAAATCGAATGGTTTCGTTGGCGAAAGTTCAGAACTAAAGAAAACATCCGACACGGATACACTAAATTTAGCAAACAATTTTTCGATGAAGAAAAAAATGCGTCAGTTAATAATTTAATTCAATAATGAAACAAAAAATTTTCTGTTGCTATAGGAATGAATATACCGCACTTTCGAATCTTTAATTTGCTTCCTTTGGAAGCATTTGGAACAGTTTATTCGATCAATAAAAGCAGACAACCTTTATCATAATTTCTGAAAAAAAAGGAAATAAACGTAAGATGAAGTATAAAAAATCTTTTTCTTTTTATGACCTGTTATTAAGTAACAAAATTAAGAGCCAAATGTAGCTAATGTCATTTGTAGTACTTTTGAACAATAAGCGCCCTAGCAGTCAGTACAAGTTCTTTTCTGCTTCTTTTGCAGGACTTCATTTAGCATCGTAAGCGTCGAGAGAAGCTGTAGTTTCATGGTGTCAACAAATTTCACACTTTCCATGACTTATTTGCACTATCCCTCTCATTTATTGCTTTCATCCTTCCCAACTACTTATTGATATGTTCGCAGTGATTAACTGCGACGACTCAACTTCATAGCCATAACTGAAATTTTGTAACTAATAGCTAATTCAAAAATGTCTATATCTGTTTCTCATTCCTGAAGTTCCTTAGAAAAATTCAGGTTACCGCACATCTGTTAGTAGTCGATTCTAATAAGAATGAACGAAATCAACAAGCTCATCATATCAGTGTACGTTCGAATTACGTGAAGCATCTGCGCCATCAATTTAATTCGTGTGTCATTACCGCACATGCATGCCGCGATAAATTAATCATTGTATATTATAAAAATTGCATATTTTATTACACGACATCTTTATTATATATGATTTTTAAGACTTCTAGTTGGTTTTTATTTAGTAAAAGTTAATAGATAATTCGAAATAAATAACGGGAAGATAGACTTTCTGACCTATATTTCATAATTTGTTCATAACAGATGCAAACGTTTGCGGAGCTCGGTTTGTATTTTTATAATTGATAAAGGAGTGCGTCTTTTTATAATTATAATACTGTGGAAGCAAAAAAAAGCAAACAGTGAAGCATTTCTTTCGAATCATGCTTTCTACCAGCGATTATTTTGTTAGGTCAGCTTTGATCGTTTGATTCACTCATTCCTAGAATCCAACAAGTCATTTTATATGTTGCTGAAGAATCTCAACATATTCCAATTTTTGTTAGAGCTTCTTAGAAGCAGAAAGAGAGTAACTCTTCAATTAATCTACATATTTGGCGAAAGAGATTATTTGTTTCTTCCATTTTTGAAAGGGAAAGAGTCCCGATAAACATGTAAAACATTTTATTTGGTTTCAATTCATTGAGCTGTGCGTGAGTCGATGGAAACTCTCTCACTTGCCCTCTAAAGAAGTATTGTAAATTCCACCTCATCGCTCCTTTCCATTCCACCTCAATCGAGAAAAAAATCAACTCTTACTTTGTTTTCCTCTTAATTCTCCCAAGCTCTGTTAAGGGCCAACATTCCTGGACGGCTATCCGCAGTGCTTATATTGCACAGCTTTTGCATAATGGCTTCGTTTTCTGGCCTTTCGTTCATTTCGATCGTTATAATTGCAGACAGAAAATACTTGGCTGGCATGGAAAAGATGAAGAAGTAGTCAATATGGCTATATTTTTCAGCTGTGGGGTAAATAAGACTCAGTGATCGTCAAGGGCACTGCCACTGCTTCAGCCTTAGTTTTCTTCGTCTGGCTATCGACAAAGAAAACTAGGCTGACAAATGCTAGAGACTGCTATGGCCAAAATGAAAACATATTTATGGTTGCTTCTCTC